ATAACACTAATTTTAAATAGAATTATTTAACAGTATATATATATATAACAAATTTATATGATGTGATCTTTCCCTCTTAAAGACATTGTATAAAATTTAATGACTTTTCTTATCAGTAACTAATGATAGTTCAGAGAATTTATGGGAAGTCATATCTCTGATAAGAGAAAGAGTATTATCTTGACATTCCTATTGTACAAAAGAGAAATTTAGGCCAACAAAAGTTCAACACTTAGCAAACGGAACTCAAAATTGTTGATCATCAAAAGGTACTTTCCTTGCTCCAACAAAGTCAGCCGCACTATGTTCCAGAAAGCCAGGCAAAAAAACTGAATGGCAATGAAAAGCAATAACATCTGTGTCTTTAAAACAAGCTAATTATTACAAATAATCAAGCCAACCTAATTTGTATGCCCAGGCTTGGTAAGTAAACACAATGTATATCTTGTTTACAAATACTTTCCTCCCTTTTTTGTGGGACTTCTCCTGTAGCATAAGATGACTTGAACTCTGTGTGTTGCTGCTGATGACCTTGAAATTCTTATCCTCCTGTTTTCACATTTTAACTGCTAAAGTATAGGCATGCACCACCAAACTCAGTTTATGCAGTTCTGGGAGTTGAACCCAGGACTTCGTGCCTGCTAGGCAACACTCTACAAACTAAGCTACAACCCCATCACTTTAAGCTATTTGTTCGATCAGTGAACACTTTCACTTTTAAAATATTAGCACAGGGACATTTTTAAATCTGGTCTAAGTTTGACACAGCTTCTGGAAAAGTGCCCTGGAATGAACAGGCGAAGCTGCTAAGGAATATAAATATTTCACAGAAAACATAAAAATATTATAGCCTTGAAATAGATTTCAAGAGATCAGTTACAATCTAGCAAATTATCTGTAAGGCAATTTATTGGTTTTATTTGTAAATTTCTTGTTACAATAATATCCAAACAAAAAGAAATGTAAATTTCAAAAATGACATTGCACAAGTCTTGGGACATATAGAGCTCAATAGAGTCCTGGGTTCTGTTCTGTATATCAAAAACAGCAAAAGAGAAAACATATTTTCACTGTAGATGAAATCCTAAATGTTATTACCTTGATTGAAAAATTATGAGATAGTAAAATATTAATTAATATGCCATAATGTGATATCTGACCCACATAGTCTCAAAAATCAAGAAGGAGCCATTCATAAAATAAAATCTTAAATGGACAAGACTGAACCAAATCTAAGACTTAGTCTAGCTAATTTTTTAACAAGGAAATCACTGTTCAGAAAGGAGAAACTGAGTAGAGTTAAAAATAAAGTTTTATATATATAGGAATTCATTATTCATTTCTGCCATATCTCAATGTCTCCTAGCATTAAATACTCTTTAGTTTAGTTGACTTCCCTAAAAATTATGGAATAGGTTACACCATTTACTCCATAAATTCACTGAACCTATCTGGGCTATTTTAGGCATTGCCAGACACAAATCTCTTCTACATGAAAATGTTCAAATAGTAAACATTGCAAAGTAACTCATTTCTATTTATCTCTTTCAAATGTCTAAATTCTATTATACAATAAAGTTTATTAATCAAAAAACCTTAGAGAAATAACACATACAACTTTACCATAACATCGTGGTCATTCCTGGTTTCTCATTGATAATGTAGAGTCAGAAACAAGCACATAATCAAATGTTTAATGAGCAATTATCAGGAAACACAAGTGTACACATGAGTATTCTTGGATTGAGCATTAATAAAAATAGGAGGTGAAGTCCCAGATGGACACTGAACAATGAGCAAAAAATTCCTAACAGCCAGGGTAACCATCATTTCAAAGAAAAATAAAGATCAAAACTGAGCATTAATCTTCCCAAATTATCATTTCACTAGTGACATGTGGATTTTCATGCTGTTTTAATGAATTACTAAATAGGATTTTGAAAGAAATTAATTTGTGAATTCTTTCATTTTATTTGAAGAGAATCACAGATTTTGTAGGTCATATTCACTATATATAAAACTGATTTAGAAGGGGTGAGATTTCCAGAAAATACAACATCTGGATTATTTGATCATTTACAGTAACACTGGGATGATCTTGTGAACAATTTTCGATTGGTCATTTATCTCTCTTTCTTTCTCTCTGAGTGCCTTGCCTGGTTTCTTTTTTTTTCTCTTTTTTAAGACAAAGTTTTGCTCTGTAGCTTTGGAGTTTTCAGTCCTCTTGCCCTCCCCTCCCAAGTGGCTGAGACTACAAGCATGCCTCACCACACCCAGCCATATTTTGGCAGGGTATCCTTTACAACATGTTTTAGCGCTTTATTCAGACCAAGACTGTCTCCGTCGGCTAATGCTAATTGGCTGTTCATTCATTCTGTAAGTTATTTATTCAATAAATAGCAAATGCTATGCTAGACAAGTGGGACGCAGTGATGAGTAATTCCTGCACTCATTGTACTTACATACCCCTGAAAAAGATAGACCGTAAATTAATAAACAAGCAATGATAAATACTGCAATGATAATCTCATTTGTTCAAAGTTCAGGTAAAGTCTAAATATGCTGTTCAGTGACAAGATGCCTGCTTAATGTACTCAGATCGCTGGGTTCCATTTCCAGCATGGAAGGAGGGAGGAAGAGATACAGGAATGTGCGGGATTCTAGACCAACTTTTGCTCTTATATAAAGAAACTGTCTCAAAAAAAAGAACAACAAAATAAAATCTTAAAGGGGGAGTAATTGGGATTGCTACAAGGTTTTAGTAGGAAATAAGTAAATTTGTTCCCACAATCTATCTCTCTCTGGACTATAAAAGGTCAAGATATAAATTATTTGGTGGAAAGGTTTTATTAGAAGTTAGATACGCTGATGCATGAAAGAAAATTTACCTATCAGTTTGTCAGTACTTAGTCCTTGCCGTCTCCTCAAGCTATACTTCCCAATACTCACATACCTAGTTCTCAAAACAGGAATTATTTGTTCTAATAAATCCCAACTGACAAGGTTGGAGGTGGAGCAGAGTTCCAAGAGTGTTTACGTAGCATGTATAAAGCCCCGGTTTCAATTCCAACCACCACTATGCTTAGCATGATGATATACACTTGTAATCTCAGTACTTGAGAGGTCCAAGAGGGAGATCAGAAGTTCACATGAAGTACTCAGGAAGAAGTACTACATAGAGAAGGAGCAGTCATGTTTTAGTGTTTCAATTTTGATGTTTGTATAGTGTGTCTAATCTTTTTCTTGATGTTGAAGGAGCCGTGTCTAAATACATGGATACGTTCAACAGTGAAGGAACAATTCTCAGAAGAGGGAATAAAGGAATAATTAAATATTAATCAAGAATGAATTGCGGGTAGGAACTGTTAAATGACCAAAGACCTTATTGTCACAATTGACCGTGCTGAAGCCTCCTTGATTGTTTTCAAAAATAAACTAATTTCTGCAAATAGTTACAAGAAATTCTTCCAGTTTCACTGCTGAAACATGAGGTTCCTCTTCTGGATAAAATAAATCAGAAAGTATCGCAGGATAGATATCCACAGATCATTCAAACTCCTAAAATATCATATAATAAATAATAAACAATCTCTTCTGTGAGATATGAGGACTATATGCAAGAATGTATTGTAGAACCACACAGAGATTTTCATAAAACAGAATGAGAAGAAGCAGTCGTCATTTTCACTTATTTTTAAAAAGTTTAATAAGATAAACTAGGACAACAGTCAATGGAGGAAAACCTACCAATTTTTAATACATTAGCTTTATTTATGCTGTGTGTTGAAATATTTATAAAGACTTCACTATCCTTCCCACATATTAATGAATATTAAGTTGTCTTTTCTTGTGACTGATTCCTTTGAACTAAACTTTTCATAAAAGTATAGGAAGACAAGCAAGCTAACAATAAGTGCAGTTAGGTAATAGTTAAAACATCCAAGGCAAGAGATATAACAAGATCCTCTTATTTATCACAGAGAAATCATTCCCTTTACAAGACCTATAGCTTAGATATGCACAGATCCATTTTCAAAAAAAATGTTGTCCTCTATCCAATATATTGCATCATAATGTCGATTTATTGTTCTACCTCCTGAAACGGTCTGTAAGACTTCCATTTTAATTTATCTTTGTGCTCTTGCAGTGCATGTCTGCTGAAGATACAATGGATGTGCCAGAGGAAGGAAAACTTACTGATTTGACTTACTAACTTTGCTCACATTTAGCTATCAGTGATGTTAACCTTTTACATTATCATGGGTCTTTCAGACTGCCACACTGCCTGACAATTCTCATTAGCTATGTTGTTCAGAAACCTAATGACAGAGACAGGGCATCAATTTCAAGTGACATAGATATTGCTTACTACAGTCATTTTAGAGAACTCAATAGCTATAAACACTATATTTAGTAAGGTTTAATGGGATTTTCTTGCAACCAAGAATTACCTTACTTAATTTCTTAACTACCGTCTATGACATTTGAGGAAATTTCTCCCTACACCAACTAATTGTTTATATTCTCATGCACGGCAAATAAACACCCACCCCCATCTTAGAATTTCAGGAGTGAAAGGCTGTGTTTAAATTAGTAAAAAAATATTATGATACTTAATCTCACAGTGTCTTTCCTGCACATTTCATTTTTTTTTAAAAAAAATCCTTCTTAATTTTGTCTTTTTAAATCATGGCTGCTGCAAATTAATAGACCAATAAATTCTTAGGTTTAATAAATATACACAAAACAGAGCAAGACACATTGGTGTATGCAGTGAATTATGGGACCTGAGTTTTGACCCCATTCCTTCCATCACTGTAAGTATGAACACATCTTTCTTTTTCTCAGCACTTCATTGGTCTAAATCCTGAAGGAGCAATGCTGAACATCAGAGTCAATGCCACGTACTCACAGAAAAGCCCTTTAAATAGTCTTTACCTTTGTTAAAAGGGCAGCTATCTTACACATTTTTTTACAATTTTAATAAAATGTAAACCTACCTTTTGAAATGTGCATGGGATCCAGAAACTTCTTGTGAAATGTCTCTAGAAGGCCTGTGTAAAGCTATTACTGTTAATAAAACTAACAAGAACAAAAATTTTAATTTGTTACCATTCTGATATCTGTAAAAGGGTAATAAAACAAATAAATGTTGATTTCTTTTACAAAAAAGCTTACGATAACAGAATGTGTGTGAATAATACAGCTCATATTGTATTCTCTTCTTCCAAAACAGAATGGATTTTGCTAATATTATTCATCACTGATGAGACAGTAATTAAAGAAACACATGAAGCATATTAGTACTGGCTGTGATATCTTTACAGAAAATATATTTTAAAAAATATATACATTATACAACCAGCCAATGAAATAGAAATCATGCTAATGCAATGCAGCCTTATATGAAGACAGCATGATTCCCAAAGAGATAGTGCACAAAATCCAGTCCTACACAAGAAACCTTAGGGTCACTAGGTCTTGCTGCTATTCTGGTACCCTCAGCAAATAAGACTCTCTTATTTATAATCCCGTCTAGTGAAAAGATTCCGCAACTTTCTTCAGGAGCCATTTCCAGTGTTTCACAATAAAGATTCCTGCTTAAGTCTGCCTCAAATCTCTCATGGCTCTTCCTGTGTCCATTGCATCATCCAAAAGTAAAGAGAGGACTGACTGTCTCCTGCATCTGAGTCATCAGCACATTTTAAGGCAAATATTAAGTTAGCCACCAGGCTTCTCTTTTCCCGTATCAATGAATACAATTCTTCAACAATCCTCTTTGAAAATGCATGTTGTATTCCATAACAAACCTATGTGTATATAACTATGCCCTTCATGGATTCTCATAAGTTCTGCCTAGATTTGATTTAAGCATCTGGAGAAACGCTGATCACATTAAACTCAGCATTCAGAACTTTGATGCAATCTACAGAACTGCTCTTTCCTAAGATGTTTCTCTTTCAGGATAATATTAGGCACTGTTACTGAGATGATATGAAATGGAATTGCATTACCAGAGTGTAAGAAATACCCATTAAAATATTAAAAATCCCTGGCTCTAGCTAACAAACAAAAACAAGAGCATTGCGATTTTAGCCTTGTGGTATCCTGTCCAGAGGCCAAGAAATTATTCAAGTGGTATTTCTCAGGAAACAAATGTTTAGACTCCTGGGAAGAAGCCAAGAAGCTGGAGTGGTGATGTGGTTCTTGGCTCCCAAATTATTATGTCACCAGAAAAATATTTTGGCTGGGTATTAGATCCTCGTCCTCATTTCCAGTCCACTGCAACTTGTAAAGTTATATTCTCTGGAGAATTTCACAGTGCACTCCAAGGTGCATTTTCATGGTTAGCTTGTCATGTGTTATACATTTGAAATTTGACCATTTGGAATTTGTGAAGGTATTGCCAACATAAAAGCTATCTTCTTACATATTACTCAATAAAAGAGAATGAATGTCTCTCTAAGGTTTCTGTCCTCCATTGCTGAATCAGATTCAAGAAGAGAGGGGAATGGTGTTTGCTGTATTTAACTGTGACATGGATTAAAATTTAAAAAATAAACCCTAAACACAAGCCGACTACCAACCCCATTACCCCCCAGGACACCATGAATTTCTCCTTATTAGACTTAATTTTTAAAATTGTGTTACATATCCTATTTGTTTGTGTGCATGGATGTGATATATGCATAAAGTCAGATGACAACTTCTGGAAGAAGATTTTTTTCTTCTAGGGACCTGGGGATCAAATTCATCATCGGGATTAATTAGTTGTAAATGCTTTTATCCACTGAGCCATCCTGATGGACCAGATTTAATTTTTAATTGACAAATCAAAACTGCCCTTATTGACTTACACATTAGGTTCTTTTCAAATACATATGTACTATATAATGGTTAAATGAAGTCAGGTAACATAATGCATTACCTCGCGTACTTACAATTTTGTGTTGAGAAAGCAGGAAATGTATTCTTTGAAATTTTTCAAGAACACACCATTAACTATATTCATCATGTAACATCATAGATCTTGTAAGCTTATTGGGACTATCTAACTTGACTTTTGGATCCTTTGGCCAACATCTCTCTATTCCTGGAAACCACTGTTCTTTCTGTTTTCAAACCATTTTAGATTCCAAATATAAGTGAGCACATGAAGCATTTAATCTTTTTATGTCTGGCTTATTTCATTTAACATAATATTCTTTAGCACCACCCATGTTATCATAAATGACATGACTTATTTCTTCATTTGGGGTTGAATAGTATTCCATGGTTAACATATGCCACATTTTCATTATATAATCATTAGTGGACACATAAATTATTTACACTTCTTGGCAATTATGAATAGTGTCATCATAAATATGGGTATGAACTGCCCCCTTTGGAGTTTATTTATAAAAACATCTAGTTTGGAATGTTGCTATATTCCATGGTAGTCCTATCTGCAAATTTTGAAACATCTCCACACTGCTTTCTACAACGGCTGTGCTAGTTTACATTCTCACCAAGAGACTTAAGAGTTCCAATTCCTCCAACAACTACACAGCAGTCATTATCTTTTCTACTTCTGTTAACAGCTGTTCTAACATATTCCTTCTACTCACACATTTTTAGAAAAAAATAGTTTTTCTTAATATCTGATATTCAGATACTTGTTGTTTGTAATTTATTTCCAATCTCACTTTTCAAAATTCCCATCTCTATGAAACAGATAGTTAGTTGTACACTCTAATTAAATCTCAAATGCCTAAAATAGATCAACTGCTTCTTAAATATGTTCTAATTGAATTAATGAATCAAAAAATCACCATGGGAGATACCAAGAATATTTGGTTGATACTGTAACATATTTCATTACTCTAAGTTATCCTCAGCTCATAATGCTCTTACAATTCATTCAGTTACATGTTACTACTGGGTATCATTTTAATTTATGTACTCATTTAAAAATAGTCATTCACTGCTTCCAAGCTATATAATACATCATGTATATAGATATGACTATTTGTGTACATGACCACACAAGCATTATTTATAAGCAGGACATGCATACAAGAAGCAAAGATATAGAAGCAAAGTAAGAATGTCTCATGGAGTGTTAGAGTGCAAGTGGCTGACGGAACACTGATGAGAGTATAAGGTAATCCCAGAAAAGAAACAAGAGTTGACATAAAAGGCTATGGGGGAAGATCTCACCTGGATCTCTCTATTGTACCTTAACTTTGATCTGGTACAGAAGGTCACCCTTACTTAAGTCACTCCTCATTCCTTTGATTCTTGTTCCCCATCCACTAAAACTGACATATCTCCCAAAGTTCCACATGCCCTAGGCTTTATATGACTGCTAGCGTGCATTTCCTGAAACTAAAAGGGTGTGGGGGTAAGGTGTTCAGTCACTTTCCTTAAAATAGAACTGAAGCAGGAGAATTAAGCTTTCCTGGGTATAGTTTTGACTTCTTGGGAAATGAGCCACACAGAGACAAGGGAGCTGCCCCACTGCATTCCCTGCAAATATTTTCCTTGATCATTTCTTATCAATGAGTGAGTTCCTTTTAAGTATAATTGGCTGAAACAAAAACAAAGAGAATGCTGCCGCTTGAACTTTAAAGATCCATTTAGAAATTCCTCTCTCCCCCTTTCAAAACATGAAACACAGCACATTCATGGAAGTCATTAACGTTTTTGAACAATTGGAGGAAAGTGTCAGCAATATACGGGCCAAACTTGCCAAAAGTCACTTATCTTAATATTCAAGACATGCCTACCACTTTCTCCCTTGTAATTTTCTTTCCTTGTTTGTTTTTATTTTTATGATACCATGCTTTCAAAATAAATAATATAGGCAAAACATTAAAGAATATTAATGTGTCATAAATATTCGTGGCACAAAGACAAATTTTTAATTTTGTATTTATATTTGTATTAATGAGTTTCAAAGAAATCATTGATTTAGCTCAAACCACTCCAACATGAAAAAAAAAATAAAGTGCATCTTTCTAAAGCACATAACCAAGCTGGGGATGGTGGAATGAAACATTCTTCTAAATTGCTCATTGTCTAAAGTAATTCTGGATATCCAACTCCTTAGTATGTTTTTATATTACTTATGAATTTATACATTCATTTAGTATATACAAAAGGAGCAATTACTGCTCCCCCCAAAAAGAGTTACATTCTCTAGGAACAAAGGTAAGACAATTTCTCTCACCTCTGTGTGTGTGTGTGTGCGCGCACATGGGTATGTGCATATGTGTGAAGAACAGAGAAGAGAAATGTAAATATATATTACATCGCTACAAAGGTATTAGTATCAAAAGTTTTTCAATAATATATAATGCCATGTTTGTTATTTTAAACAAATTCTTGCAGGATATCCATGTTAGTTTATAAGTTACATACATGAACTTTCTTCATAATGAAAGAAAATATCTTTACCCATAAAAACTTACACTGAAGATACAACTATTATACAGAGTCTGATGCACAGATTTATGTCAAATTTAGACAAAATATAGTCATCTAAGAGATGGTAATCTCAATTAAGAAAATACCTTCATATGATCAGTTGTATGTAGACCTGTAAGGTATTTTCTTAATTACTGATTAGTGAGAGAGGTCCCAGCTTATTGTATGTGGTGCCATCCTTGGTCTGGTGGTTCTGAATGCTAAAAATAAGCAGTCTGTGAAAGTCTTGAGAATCAAAGCCAGTAAACAACACCCTTACATGGCCTCTGAATCAGCTTCTTCCTCCAGGATCCTTCCCTGTTTGAGTTCCTGTCCTGACTTCCTTGATGATGAACAGCTATATGAAGTGTAAGACAAATCAACCCTTAACTTCCTCAGTTGCTTTTGCTCATGGTGTTTCAGCACAGAAGTAGAAAGAAGATACAGATCATAATCATTAAACAATTCCTGGAAATATGTTAATTTGTAGGAAATTTTGTCAGGAATCATTGTGGTTTGGGGATATGGTTTGTATTTACCCTAGTAATGTAGCTGACCAAGGATGCTGTCAGTTGACTCTCCACTTGTTGCTTACATTATTGAAAACACTGTCAATATTCTTTGTGAGTACTTTTTGAGGCAATGGTCTATGTGTTTATTTCAAACTAAGTAATGACACTGAGAGATCTAATCAGGAATATATACATGACAAGACACTTTAAGATGTTGAAACCAAATTAATAAGTGTTTGTGTCCACACTGCCATACATTTATATCAAGGTACGCCTTTATCCATGTTGAATGATATCCCATGTGAGTTTCTGACAACTTACAGATCAAATGCTGCTAACCTTGTATTTAGATATGCATATGTATACAGTTATTTTGCATATTTAATTATATGCATAAATCCTGAATTCATTATTTTCATAAAAGCAATACAAGCAAAAAATCTTTTCCTCTATTAACAATGTCTTTGTCCGGACAGGAAACCCTGACTGCTCTTGGGAATGGTGAGGGAGGAGGAGAAGGAGTAGGGGGAGCGGGAGGGTATTGGGAGGAGGGGAGGAAGTGGAAAGAGTGTTTTCGGATACTTGAATAAACAAGTCTAACAGAAAAAAAAAAACAATGTCTTTGTCCATCTACAAAAAAACCGTAGACCACAGATGTCTAAGTTTGGACATCATTGCTACAGTCTGCCCAGTGGTCAGAATATAATTTTAAGAATTTTAAAGATTTTTTTCAAGAAATAATAACTGAGTTAGGACCGGAGTACAGTTATAAATTCATTGCTTATCATATGTAAAAACCTGGGTTCCAACTCTGACACCACAACCACCATCATAACATGAGGTCATAAGTTGAGAATCGCAGCACCCATGTAAGAAACAGGGTGGAGGCATGTAATTGTAACCTGAGCACTAGAGAGTGAGACTGAGGCAGATTCCTAGGGATGAATAACCAGAGAGTTTAATCAAATCAATATGATCAAGAGTCGTCAAGAGATCTCATTTCAGAAAGGAAGGCAGAGAATAATAGAAGACTTTTAATACTGTCCCCCTAAACATACACTCACACACACACACACACACAATAATTGAATGAAGGAATTATACATACATATATATATATATATATATATATATATATATATATATATATCAACATTTGTTTCTATTACTTTCTGGTTCCTAATCAGAAACTCTGGTAGCCATGGCATCCCAAATTCAATCACAACGCTGTCTAGTGGAGCTTTATTGTGTTTCCTCTATATTTTTTAAAGATATCATTGAAAGAATATAAGGGGAGTTCACTAGTTCATGAGTTGAGGTCAGTTGGTTCCAAGTTGACTAAGATTACATAGCTCCTGTGTAACTTTATTGAGAGATTTACTCAGTTTCAAGTGGCCGCACTTTGCTCTGATTCATAACCTCAAGCTTAACAAACATGACATATTAAAGGAAATAGTTTAATTTAGTTTTTGTGAAAATATCATACATGAGTAATTTATTTACATAAGTCCACCCGTCTCTCTCTTATTTAATTCCTCCCTTGTCTCCCTATGCCCTGTAAAATTCACTACCTCTTCTTTAAGCACACACACATGCATACACACACACACACATACACACACACGAGCGTGCTATACATAAATACATGCCTTTAAGTACATCAGTGTTGTTTGTATGTGTATAAGATTAGGCTGACCACTTGGTACTGGATGATCTATCGGGGACTCCTCCTTAGAGAAGAATGAGTATCGCCCTCTCAGCAGTCATTAATTGCCTATAGTACTTCATGGTTGTGATCTGTGAAATTTCCCCATCAATGATATTATGTCAGTTGTTATTGTCCTCTTTCAGATCTTGCTTAGGCATTCATATCACTGAGATGTCATGGATGGAGTTCCCTGTCATACATAGGATAAACTATCTCACAATAGATCACCCGGTCTTCTTGCTCTTAAAATCTTTCTACTGCAAGAGGTTTAGGTATAGGGGTTTTTATGTAAATGTGTCAGTTGTGGATGGGCACACCATGGCTAGTTCTCTGCATTTTGAAAAGTTGTGTCTCTCTGATGATCTCTAAATGGTGCAAAAAGACATTTCTTTGGTGAGGGGTGAGAACTACACTGATCTATGGGTAGAGGACAAGTATTTAAAATACAGTTTGTAATTATACTGATTTATTAAAGTGGCAGTAGTACATTCTCCTCAAGAATCCAGGGCCTCAGTAGGCACAACGGGTTGGCTGGGTTTATACTACCAGAAATGAATTCTCTCCTACTGAATGAGCCCTAAGTCCAATTCGGGGACTGGTGGTTTACCTCTAATATCTAAGTGCCTCTGTTGTACCCTTGGGAACACCCTGCCAAGGTAGTCACTGTTGTAGTTCTTGGGCTTTATGGACGGGACAAACTGTTGATTGTTTTTTTTTCCCTTGGCTGCTTGCATAACATAACACCTTAATACTGTGTGACCCAGTCTTTTGAGACGTTCTCAGATCAGTGGGAAGAAGTTTCCAGATCAGTGCAATTTGTTTCTTTGAAGTCTTGTGCCCAAAGTGTGCAGTGGCTTCAGTAGTAGAGTATTATCTTAATGTTCTGGTAGGGCAACAGCAATAGACTATATTATTTTTGGAGCCTTTTGTATTTCTCTAACCAGCAACCAAAATGGAGGTTAGTCATGGGAATTTTACCAGCAGCACAACTGCAAATGTTTAATTTCAATTTATATAACATTTCTATATATAATATTTTAAGAAAAGATAATATGATTGCTTCTTTAAGGATTTTGTAAACATCTTTACTCTTATTTACCTCTGCTCTATCCCACTCCTTCCATATTGGTCTTTCTCTTTCCCAGTTAAATAAACACACACCCAGTTTTTCTTATTTCCCCACAGAAATCATCAACGTAAAAAAAAAAAAAGCATGGTGAGGGTGAGAAAAGAAGCTTTAGTAGTAAGATGGCTGGTAGAACACAGGTTAGAGATAAACAAAACATTGCTTTAAGGCAGCAAATTGTATTAGAAAGTTTTAATGTCAGACAGGCTTCTCTCCCTCTCCCTCCCTATCCCCTTTTCTCTCTTCATTTCTCCTCCTCACCCCATAGGCTCTCTTCCAGATTAGGGTGGTGATGCTAAAAGTCCTTCCCAGAGCAAAATTTAAGCAACACCCACACCTTCTAAGGTCACATCAACAAAGAGAGGCACAATTCCCACCAAAATTCTCTCTGGAGAACCAAGGAGTTAATTGAGTTATTTTACAGAGGTGAGGGGTCACTTTTAGGGTTGTGGACACTCTTCCCCTAACAGGACACAGTGAAAAG